CTTTCCTACGCTTTCTTCCCCATTTTACTCCCTCCCCTTCCCTCTCCTTCCTTTCCATAATAATCTCGTTCTTTGTCTTATTCTATTTTTATCCATCTCGCGGTTATTCCACGGAAGCAATTACGCTAATGATAGATTCTGAACATTAGACCAAACTCTGTAATAGCAAATCATGGAGTCCTTTTGAAAATGTTCATGGGGCAGAAAATGTAATGATAAGATGGGCTTGAGAGTTATCATATTGCAAATAAAATCTTGCAGTATGCATAAGTCCCCCACATTTCCCTTCTTCCCCCATCTTTCTTTCTTCCCTCCTCTTCTCTTCTTACTCTCCTCTTCCCTTCTTCCCCCCTCTTCCCTTCTTTGCTCCTCTCTTCCCTTCCTCCTCCCCCTCTTCCCTTCTTCTCTCCCTCTTCCCTTCTTCCCCTCCTCTTCCTTCTCCCCTTCCTTTCCCCCTTCCACACCTCTCCCTTCTTCCACCCCACCCCCCCCTCTTTCTTTCTTCCCTCTCTTCCTTCTTCCGCTCTTTCTTTTTCTTCTCCCTTCTTCCCTTCTCTTTCTCTTTTTTTTGGGGGAGCGGTCTATTTTGATCAATAAAAAGGCGTTCTCTTTTATTGTTGTTATTTTCGCTTGTTTAGCCTAATATGGAATGGAGGAGAGAAGGTAGAGGCGGAGGAGGGGGGGAGGAGGGGAAGGGGAGGAGAGTGTAAGGGGTGAGAGGAGGAAAGACGAGAAGGAGAAGGAGAAGGGGGAGGAGGAGAAGAAGGGGGAGGAGGAGAAGAAGAGGAAGAAAGGGAGGGAGGGAGAGGAGGGAAAAGGAAGGGAGGGAAACGGAGGAAAAGGAGGAGGGGAGAAGGAAGGAGAGGAGGAGTGAGAAGGTGGGGGAGAGAGAGAGGAAAGGAGGGAGAAGAATATAAAGATATAGGAAGAGAAGTTTGAAGAAATGTTACCTATAAAAGAAAACAAAAAAAGCTACAAAAAAAAAAAAAATCTTCAGGTTGCAGACTATCTAGGCATCCGTGTGTGGGCGGCTATGATTGCCATTACGAAGGCGTGGGCGGCCTCATGGGAACGGGCGCTGGGGAACGTTCTGCCATGAACACAGCCAGCCTCTTCCTATATAACATTTTTTCTTCTATTTTTTTTTTTTTTCTTCTTCTCTTCATTCTTTTTTTGTGTTTTTCTCTTTTTCTTCTTTTTTTTCTCTCCTCTATTCTTTTTGCTTCTTCTTTTCCTTCTTTTTCTTCTCTTTCTTATTTTCTCTGTCTTTATCTTCTTTTTGTCTTTCATTGTTTTTTTTTTGTCTTTTTTCTCTTTTATTTTAGCCTTCTTTTCCTTTCTGTTTCGGTGTTCAGTTTTTTTTCTTCTTCTCTCATCTTATTCATTGACGTATCATATTCTGTTTTCCTTCTCCCTTTTTTTCTCTATTTTCTTTTTTCTTTCTTTCTTCTTTTTTCATTTCTTTCTCCTCCTCATCCTCCTTCCCCTCCTCTCCTCTTCCTCTCTCCTCTCCTCTTCTTCTCCTTCTCCTCCTCCTCCTTCTCCTCCTTCTTCTTTTCCTCCTCCTTCTCCTTCTTCTTCGTTTGTCTCGTGATGCGTCTTCGTGCAGAAGGAACGAAGCAATGAAAGCTATTTGTACCAGAATGTTAATGTTGTGAAAAATCTGTTCCGGACAGAATTATGAACAGTTTAATCCTCGCGTGAATAAATTTTAGCTCAGCCTTCGGGTTCAGAAGCTATTAATTTCTCTCGTGGAATGAATAACTACGACAGAGATTAACTTACAAGCATTATCATACACGTACACACGAACGCTCGCACACACCCGCAGAGCGATAAGATGCGGGGACACGTACGTACATATATACACACGTGCAAAGGCATAGATAGAAGCACAGACACGCACAGTCAGGTGTAGGTATGCATAGATGTACAGAGACGCACGCACACGCACGAGGTAACCGATCGAAGGGTTATCCTCATTGTTAGTCCTTTGTGTCTAGTCTTTGATATGTATCTTAATAGGTCATGCACATATACATAGGGCCCGAACCAATCTTTCTATCTCTCTCTCTTCTCTCTCTCTTTCTCTTTCTTTTCCCTCTTCTCTCTCTCTCTCTCCTCTCTCTCTCTCTCTCTTCTCTCTCTCTCTCTCTCTCTCTCTCTCTCTCTCTCTCTCTCTCTCTCTCTCTCCTCACCCACCACCCACCAATCACTACCCCCACCCGACCCCCTTCCAACCCACCCCAACACAACCCCTACTTCCCCAATCCCCATCCACGTTCCCCAGTCGCCGTGCGGACTGGGACAGCCACCGGGAGGGCAAAAAAAATGGAGTGTCAGCCGCCGGTCAGCATACCAATGAAGGGAAGGGAAGCTTGTATCTCGGGGACTCGGTCGCGTCGCTCGCTCGCCGCCGACGCTCGCGTCTCCTGCGGGCGTCGCGTCGGCTCTTCGGTTGGGTTTGGGGTTGTGTCGGGTTAACACACACACATACGCATATATAATATATATATATATATATATATATATATATATATATATATATATATATATATATATATATATATATATATATACACACACACATAATGTATATACCCACATTCGCTCAATTTGCGAGCCCACTGGGCCTCCCTGCGGCGACCCCGCCTCCTTCCACTTAAGACCCCCCCCCCCCCCACTATCTCCCCCGGCGGCGTCACCGGAGGAATCACCGTAGAAAATCCAGTACTGTCCCGCCACCAAAGCGCCGAGTGGGCTTTTATTAGGAAACATTCAGATATCAAAGAAAAGCAATCAGTTAGGCCAGGGCGCTTCGGAATGGCGTGGGTGGCCCGGCATCGGACTTTGAACTTAATGACGCCCGGGCATAAGGCTCACGTCCCCCTCGAGCCCTGTCGAGCGACTGCCAGCCAACAGATTTGGTTTTAATATTAGCATGTCAGAGGTGAGGCTTCCATCGGAATACCGGAGGCTGGCTCGAAGCTCCCCGGGAGAACACGCCCGTAAAGTGAGCATGTCCTCATTTTCGTCGCGGGCATTCCAGCCACCAATAGCATTTGCAAGCATCAATTTCAAGGGAGGTTCTCGGCCTCTCTTGCAAGGCGTGTGTTGCAAGTATTTATAAACAGAGACTTCGAGTCCGTTCTCGTCATGGAGAATCAACTAAGATCAGGTAATAAATCTTGATTAATCTTTTATACTTCGGAGGGATATCAGGAAGCCAGGAAAACAGGAGAGACGAGCTTTAAAAATCCTCTCCAGGATTAATATAATTGGCCTCCTATGTTGCATTACCTAAATCAATAGCCTTCAAAATATCTGAATTTTAATCCCGGGCACAAATAGGCAACCGTGAGGCGATACCCTCCTGCAGAACGTATAAAATTATTACGTAGAAGCTCGTTTAACGTTGTGTCCCTTTTAACGCCGTCTCGTTTTACGGAGCGAGACGACGGGGTTCCTCTAAAGGCAGGGATTCTGACTCCAAAGTGAGAGTAAGAGAGATGGAGGAACTTCTGTGGTACAATTGCGGGATTGGTAATAATGTTACAAAAATAAAAGCAGTAACAGATACAACGACAATAACAACATCTAAAAAACAATTCAACAACAACAATAATACCAATAACAACGAGAATACGACGATGATGACGTCGACAACAACAACAACAACCGCAAAAACAACATACAATAAAGTCCTACAGAAGTATAAACACAGACGACAAAGATAATGAAGATAACAAGGATAATAGTGACGATAACAGCGATAAAGCCAATTAACAAGAGTGAGCATCAGATGTCCAACGACCACACGAATCTCGATAGAAGTAATAAAGATAATCAATTTTCCCCCCATGGTAATGATACTCATCCCAGATTAATAGCACGAACGGCGGAAGACGAATCAATACTAGCAATACTCGGACGAAATAGTTTTACATTCTTCAACTCCCAAGAAATCTTTCGGGAGAGCTCGCTGCCTGAGGAAATCTGATCTCGAGCTTGGAAGATATGATACAGAGGGACGGCCAAAGTTTAAAACTTCTTAATACGTCACATTACAAAAGCATGAAAAATTATATCTTGCTTTGGCTTTTTTTCCGCCTACGCTCTCGCTTGCTTTTTCTATCTCTGTCCGTCCGTCTGTCTGTCTGTCTGTTTCTTGTCTGTCTGTCTCTCTCTCTTTTATATATTATATATATATATATATATATATATATATATATATATATATATATTATATATATATATATATATAGAGAGAGAGAGAGAGAGAGAGAGAGAGAGAGAGAGAGAGAGAGAGAGACAAAATTTGCCCTCACCGACCAGGATTTGCAGGTAGTTAACTGCACTATATATATATATATATATATATATATATATATATTATACATATACTATATATATATATATATATATATATATATATATATATATATATACATATATATATATATATATATATATATACATATATATATATATATATATATATATATATATATATATATATATATATATATATATATATATATAATATATATATATATATATATATATATATATATATATATATATATATATATATATATATATATATATATATATATATATATACATATAATATATATATAGCACTCTAGATAGAAAATGTCGATTGTGCAACAGTTCTTGGCTGCTAATTTCTTTCTGGTCACCCGTATTTCACATTCTAAAATACAAATCAATGGGCATACAATACGTACAAGCGCTGATGAACAAGAATATATCCTTATTCTCGACCGCTCTGTGTGTTGCGACTGCCCGCGTGGAGTCCGAATTACCAGACATCTGCGTTGCCTTCGCGGGAGATATTCTACGCGCATTTTCTTCTTCTAAATTTTAAAATCAGTGGCTCTCATAGAAAGATGCTTTGGCGTGCAAGCAATTTGTGAATTTGAAAGGACAGTCACTGACTAAAGGAACGGGGGAACACTTTTTTCGGAGACGCTACA